ATGAAAGTCTGTATTAAAACAAAAAACCTTAAAACAAAATCTAGCATATATGTTATCCTATTGATATAATTATCTATAATGAAAAATAAAGCAATATGAAGGTAATAATTAAGACTGTAAATGAAGTTAATATATCTCAATTAGATATTTGGAGAGATGAACCTTAAATCATTGGGGGAATGGTAGATGCCCCACAACATTTTTATCTGAGAATTTTTTAACACGAATTTAAAATTTAACACCTGAGAGGTATCAGTATGTAGGTCTTCCCCAAGTACATTGTTACTCATTAAGTATCTCATTAATAAAACATTAAGCAAGCACTCAGAGATCTACTGTGTGTTCAAGATTTTCAAATACCTCTACCCATCACTGAAGCAAAACTCCTGAAACTATTATTCCTTGCTGCTAAACTGCAGTGTTTATTTATCTTCTGAAATAAGTTTCCAGAATAAAAGAGAATAGAATAGGGTGGAAAGGTTGTGAACTTTAGAGTTAACCAGCCCTCAGCTTTATTCCAAGCTTTGCACATACTAGGTGTGTAATCAAGAATATGTTAAGACAATAAACCCACATTGATGATCTCTACATTAATCTACCACAGCTACATGCCTAGAACTGTCAATACCAACCAGACTCTTTGCATGAGCAGAGGTCAGCCATCAGAGGAGTTTGTTATAGCCTAGATTAGTTAGCTGTGTGACCTTGAGCTAAAGATATTTGTTTCCTCATCCCTATAATGGAGGTAATAACAATATTACTTGAAAGGTTGTTGGGAGAACTCAATTAGAAAATAGCTGTAAAACACTAACTTGGGTGCTACATATATTTAGAAGTGTTTAATGGAAACAACTAAAAGATTAAAAATTTAATATCCAGTTTGGTCTTGGAACATAGATGTAGGGGGAAATGATGGGGCAAACCTCAGCTACCAAGGACCAATATTCTGGATTTTTTTTTCACGTGTATGTGTGTGTGACAGACATAATGATGAAAATTAAATGCTATATATTATCAAGGAAAATTGTCCACATTTAAACTAATGATAAATATGGAAACAGTAACAAATATAGAAATAAAAATCAACAATAGAAATGTAAAATTGTCCTAATTACAGTCATTAATGAGAATTACTAACAATGCATTCTTTATCATCATACAGCATATCATCTTTTATGTACATTGCAACATACCAACATTGGTTACTTTTGGCACAACTCTAGGTAAATCCTTTGCCCTCTCATTGCTTCCATTGTCTCAGGATATCAATAAGGCCCTTCACTAGACAAACTGTAAGTTCTATTTCAGTTTTAAAATACTTTGATTTTATCACCACAAAAGAGCTTAATCTAGTTTTCTACCCTGACTCAAAACTTAAAATGAAAGATCTCCTGTCTGTGCCTACGTGTTTATTTTCTGGGTCTAAAATTTCTCTCCTCCTTCTCCTCTACCATCCCCAATAATTCTTCAAGTTTATTCTTCAAATATTCCTTTAGTGACCTTCGTATTTCCTTCATTTTCCTCCGATGGATGACACACACAAGGAATCTAGAATAGGAAAAGAAATGAATCCCAAGTTCAGTAGCAGTAGCCCTATTCTTTAAAACAATTATCCAGTGTTTTCTCCTTTTCTGGATACTTCTACTCCATTTCCTTAAGTTCCAACTATTATCCCATCAAACTTTCATCCATTTCATTCCTGTCAATATCATATCCCAGATTTTGAAATGACTTCTTTCCTCCTTTTCTCACTGGAAGGAGAAGGAAATTTGAGCTGTCTCTTTTCAAAAAGAATGCTTGACTTAGTGTTTATCTGGAGGGAAGAAAACTCACAATAACAAACCACTTCCCAGGATTGTAGCTGTTGCCAGTAATATCAGAAATAGTGCAATCTCTCGATTCTCATCCTTCATTGGATCTTCATCTGGAAGGAAAGGCATGAAAAAAAGCAATTTTTGGAGAAAAGAAATAGTAACTTGGGACCTTTATCTAGAAGACTCTTTTAACCTTAAACAGTTTGTTCTGTTCATTCCTTCATCACTGTTCTTTGGTTATTCTGATCTTTATTACTGGTAGACCCCTAGGTTCTCCAAAACATTTGTCCTCGTTGCCTCTAGCCTAATTTCTCCACCCTTAGTCCAGCCTTTTCATTTCTCAACCCTTCAATTAGCCCTGAGACAAATTCTTTATACTGATCCAAAATTTGCCCATCGCTTAAGCTTTTATTTTGTAGCATTATCATGACCTGCACAGAAGGTAGTCAACAAATATTTATGGAATAAATCAGTGAGCGACCCAGTTTTTTGATCCCTGGGCCCTTAAACTGCCACACCACAATCTTTGTTACCTCCACAGTATTCTCCCTTGAAGCACCTGGTGGTCATGCGAAGACAGGTCCAACAATCAAGAATGGGACCTTCAACCACAACTAATAAAGAGAATAAAGATAATCAAGAGTGGGGCATGGCCTGAGGGTTCTTTAGTTCACAAATCAAGTATAGATTAGGACCCAAGCATTCCCAGGACTCTTAAGGTTACTTGCTTGTGAATGCCTTCTTCCCCTATAAATCAAGTGTCTTGATGGGTTAAAATTTGTAGTTTAAATCAAATGTCTGGGGGGATAAGTAGGAAAAATGATGCCTCAGTATATATCGGGGTAATAGGTTGTAAACTATTCTTTAGGAGGCCTCTGAGTACCTCCAAATTCTGTGGGTATCTGAGCTAGTTTTTGTTATTAGATATTATTGACATTCCCCCTTGTAACCACAGCCGTAGGAATTGGGTTCTCATTGTAACAGGTGGGAGAGATAGGGCCATATAGAGCAAAGGAGATGGGAAAATATGGGCTGAAACCTCATGGCGTCACATGTACTGTACTCACTGCAGTCCTCAGAACAAGCTGGAAGAGAATCAGAAAGTGCTAATGAGCTTAGAATCAACTTAGAGTTTACCATACTTATACCCGAGAAGTCTTTGTTTACTCATTAAGTTCCAGCTATTCCTCCACTCATTCTAAATGACTCTATTATGAAGCCACGTTCTCCTTCTCACTCCTCATTTTCTATGTCCTTCACACAATTTCAGTGTTTTCAGATAGAAAGATTTTATTACCGACTTCAGAGAAGTTCTTTAATAATTCCTTGAGTTTGTATTCCAGGTTTTGGCGGATCTCGAGAAGCTTGCCTTGAAGGATAAAGACACCTAAGAAGGGGTGGAAGGGATGTCAGGAAATAGGGGTAGCTCTTCCCTTCAGAGTTTAATTCTAGCTGTTTTGCCTTGTTTTCCCTGGCCAAATTTTGTCAGACTTGCTTGGGCAATACGAACTTTTAACATTGAAATAGTACCTCACCTTTCCACGTTTCATTGCTCAGTTTATAAAATTCATTCTTCAGCCATGTTCTCAACTTGACAACCTTTTGGACATCTAGAGAGGAAGGGGAAAGGTACAGGTGGGGGAATAATTATACCTGTGGAGCAAGTTATATGGACCCTGATGTTCTCTTCCCTGCCTCCCTTTTCCCTTTAAGCCCCAAAACTCTCAGGGACTCAAGCTTCCCTCACCCAACACCCGAAGCATCTTGTCACTGTGGGAGACCTTGAAGCTTAAACTGATCATCTCCTTACTCTGCCGTTCAAGCAGCTGAGTTCGGCCAGGGACTTCTGGGGGTACCAACTTTGACAACAAGGACCTAACATCCTCTTTGAATTTGGGGTCACACTCCAAACAGCCTTTGACTCCATGGAAGGCTACCAGGGACAGAGGAAGGAGCAAGAGTAGCCACAGGTCACCCATTTCCTGGCCCTTTCCATAACAGCAGGTTGTCATGGCAACTAGTTTACTTAGTTCCTTTTCCTTCAAAAATCCAGGAATGAGAGTCTTGTCCTGGATAGTCTGACTCTACCTTTCCTTCATTTCCATCCCACTTTCAGGCAATCTCATTTCCCTAAGGATTTTCAGCTGTTCTCTGACTCTTATCCTTCATTCCAGAGAGAGGGAGCTGCCAGCTGGGGAGCAGATACCTGAGTTCTGAGTGTGGAACACAAAGAGGGAGAGAAGTCCTGAGATCACACAAGCAGAGTTCTGTGCAGGGAGATGTCTTGGAGAAAGTGTTTCTTTGACTCCATCACTTATTTGTATCTTTAGCAGGTTCCCACATCCCTCCTGACCTTTGGAGTAGTATAGCAACAGGGATGGATGGTGGAAGAGAGCTCAGAGGACCTTAGAGATTATGTAACCAAAGTTCCACTTCTACAGAGGCAGTAAGAAAAGTCAAGAATATTGAGTTTCTTGGGGTCCCAATCCCTACTGATAGAAGTATTGTTGATAATTAAGGTATGAGCATTTATCTATAATAATAATTGATAATTTTACTATAATAGTAATTGATAATGTCTCAGAAATTCCAGGCTATGTTTGTCTGTAGAATGATTCCTCCAACCATGCTTTGTAATCTTTTTATAGCATTCTTCTTATAAAGAGTCTGGAGGCAGAGACTAGAAACAACAGTTGAGGAATATGCAATGATGAGTAAGAATCCAATAATGTTCAGAGTCCTTTAGCAGGTGCATCCCGAAAACCTGATGATGAATTGTGTAACACGTAAGAACATAACTACAGTTATCATGGGCTGTGCTCTCAAATCACTTACATGGAAGATGGATAAATATACATGTTCTTCTTTCAGTTTGTGGCTCTTTGAATAAGAATATTCTTTGTACTTTGAATAAATGTGGGCTGTTTTGCAGACTTTTAAGAGCACTGCTCACCCCTTTTCTAATATATTGCTGGTATGACTATGACCTCCTGGAAACTGAGAGATTCTGGTGTCCCAGAGGGTTAGTGGTAGAATTTAGATGTAAGATATGAGATAATCATGGAGGAGAAAATTATGAGAGGGGTTAAAAGAATTATCATGAATTATATGTCTACCATGTGAAAGATACTGCACTAAACACTTCAGATGGATTAGCTACAAATCCTCACACACAGCAATCCTTTGAGAGATTGTCATCTCCATTTTACAGGTAAGAAACTGAGGGTCAGAGATGTGAAAGAATCTTGCCTGGCAGAATAATTTAGTAGTATGGACTCAGGATTCAAACGCATGTGTGTCTGACTCCAAACTCTATATGCTTCACTGCCTCTCAGCAACCACTTTCAGGGATAATGCAGAAAATAATCTCTTAGAATTTGATAAATTAGGAGATAAGGGGACAATACAAATCTTTTGATTTGATTTATGGCTTAAAATTGGCATCTCTTATGTGCACATATGAAAGTAACATTCACTGGATGTCGGGTAGGTGGGAAGGGGGTGGAGGGGATGGGTAAATTCACACCTAATGGGTGTGGTGTGCACTGTCCGGGGGTTGGGCACACTTGTAGCTCTGACTTGGGTGGTGCAAAAGCAATATATATAACCAAAGTGTTTGTAGACCTGTAATATTCTGAAATTAAAAAAATAAAAACTAAAAAATAAATAAAATTGGCATCTCTCTGCTATGATTTTTTATTCCTTAGTGAGATGATCTCACACTTAGAGGATCCTCCAAAGGATTTTTACATGCTGAAGTTTTAAGGCAATTGAGTTAATGGGATTAAATTAACTCTAGAAACCAAAGTTGGAGACTAAGGTGTCTAAGAAACTTGGCAGACAGGTGGCCAGGTATGAGGACAAACTGTTCTTCAAGAGAATATATATGTTATAGACATTAATATTTTCTAGTCAATGATACATACCTCCACTTGGACAGCTTACAGGGAATCTGCCACCACATTACTGAATAATTCAATCTCATACCATAGCACATTTTTGTGACCCAGACTTAGTAGCTCATCTACCATTTTTATCCTTGCAGCACTGTTCCAGCTTAATTTTCAATCCAGGTTCTTACAATGACAGAAAAAAATAACTTGGCTTTTAGGTAGTCTTGGAAAGACTGGAGAAAGGCAAGTCACTTCCTAATAAGACAGGTAGTACTTGTAATTAAAGGGAATATATGAAAGGAATAACAATAAAAGCAATCTCAGTCTCATGGAGTAAACAGTAAACACATAACGCAGTGTGCTAATGGTGAAGGCAGAGGTACACACAGAGGATTATTGAAGGACAGAACAGCATTATCCAAGTCTAGAGAGATTTCTTATAGAAAGACTGGATCTAGGAGACTAGAAACAATAATTAACTAATAAATAGTGATGGAGTGAGAATCTAATAGTGTTCAGGAACTTTTAGGGGGAGCATTCTGAATGTACTGATGATGAAATATATAACATATAAGAACATAACCACAATTATCATAAGATAGTCCTTTGAATTTCACAAATGTAAAATATTTGAGCCTTGGGAAAGAAAAACTGTCTGGAAATAGATTAATAATATAATAGTTATGTTAATTATAATGCTATGTCTGGGAGGCAAAAGACTAAAACTCAAATCCTAGATAGATTATGCTGGTATATTTGGTTTATATTGACATGAGGTTATATGATTTACAGAATCCACTCATAAGGGATAGAATCAGTTGTTATGTAGCATTTGGCCTTTGCTACAAATCATATAATAATGCACTGAGGTATAAAATTTGAAGAACAAGTTTCATAAAGAAGAGCAAGAAGCTTTTTATAGAAATACTCCCTCACCTCATGGTAGATCTGATTCCTAGATCCACAAATAAAAATAATGAATCTTTCTAGCTCAAGCTTCTTATGGCCCCTTTTCTGATAGATTATTTACCTTGTTAAGCCCCACTGCATTGCTTCCCATCCCTATCATTTCACAGGATTCCTTAAAAGTTTGGCAAATTATCTAGATACCTTTTGCAGTCAGGTGAGGTTAACCACATTCCTGACTGTAATCTGAGATTAGGAAGCCATTACTGGATATTTGGTCATGTTATAAGCTATCTTTCTAGGCAGCATAGTACTCACAGTTGAAATAATTGCTATATGCCAAACATTTAACATGTAAAATAAGTTTAATACTTTCTACCTCCCTATTTATATTCCATTATTATTAAGACAATTTCGGTACCTATTTTCTACTCTTCCTTTAGGAAAAGTCATAAGGTTGTATAAATTATTGGGTAGCCTTAAAGACTTAGAAGGAATCTCTATCTGACTAGAAATGGACTAAAAGAAAAGCAAATTAGGGGGAGAAAAATGGCAGAGTTAAGGTAGCCTCCCGGATCCCTGCTTCCAGAGAAAGAGACAGATCTCAGTCTGCTACACACGATTGGATCGCTCTCCTGCAAAAACAGCGAGGTGAATTGGTGGAGATTCAGCGGGGGACACACAAATCAGGAAAAAGAATAAGGTGAACAGGAGATAGGAACGCAAAACCTGGAAAGCGCGGGACAGACAATAGAGAGTGGAGCATGAGACTGTGGCGCCAGCCTGGCCAGTAAGTGCACTGGGATAAGTCCCTCACGAGGCAGTCTAGCTTCCCCACTGACTTACAAGCCCACCGAGAGGCAGGGACTTGTGCGAAGTGGATGTAGAATTGGGTCAGGAAATGTGGGGCTCAGCAGAGAGGGGACACGAGCTGGAAGCAACTTGAACTCCCCGGAGCTCCGTGCCAGGACTGCACCGGACAGGGGAGGAGCTGGGCTGGGCTACCTCCAGAGGCAGGTAGGAGTCAGGAAGCTGGTCTCTGGCACCCAGCGGGTCCTGAACGGGGAGGTGATTACTGAGTAGAGGACTCTAACCTGGAAACTGCCGCTGGCGATAGGGACTGCTCAGGGTGGGCCAGTAGAAGCGAGAGCTATTGCTGGACTGGCATGAGATTGGGGGAGGGAGACATAAAGGAGATGGTGGAGCACCCTGATGACGCAACTGACTCCCTGATCAGGTACCTCCCAGCCCCTGAGCGACTCCCTCTGGAGCCAGCACCCTGGGGGCGGGCTAACGCCAGCTCAGGGCCCACAGCAGGTCGCAGTACGGTGGGGAACGACTCCCTTCCCCCAGCCTGGGAGATCTCACAATGAGCTCTGCCCTTCTAGGACCTAAAGTCAATTAGCCAGGCCCCTTTCTTTGAGCGGTGAATTCTGAGTGCCTCCTCAGTTGTGAGGGGAAGACGCATACGGAAGCTGAAGGCGCTGGGGAGTTGAGCAGGTTGGGAAGGCACCCCCTCCCCCTAGCCAGCGTCTTTTGCACGGCCTCTGAGCTTGCAGCAGCAAGACATAAAGAGCCACTCCCTCTCTGCAACAAGCGCCAATCCCTGGGGCTTTGGCACTGACCAATAGCTGACAACCCAGTGACTTTCCTCGCCAGACCAGTTCAGGTCATCCGGTACAATTGCATTTCCGCCTTCGGTCAGCTACCAACAGAGAAACCCGCGACTAGGGAATCAAAACCCCAGCAAGAGACCAAAACATGCTCCCCAAGTAACCCCTCCCACAAAAAGAAACCTGGACAACGTACTAGCGGCTCCCTCTAGCGGCAGAACAAAAATAACAGCGGATCCAGATGGGAAGGACCCAGCAAAAGATTTCTGGAAGTATGAAAAATCAAATGGAAAGCACACCCCCAAAGAGGAACACCAGCTCACTACCAATGAACACTAACCAGGTCCAGAATACTAAAATGACAGAAGAAGAATTCCAAACATGCATTGTAAGTAAGCTCAATGATATGCAAGGAAAAATGGACAACCACCACAAGGAAACCAGAAAAAACATCCAGGACTTGGAAGAAAAATTCACTAAAGAAATTGAAATATTAAAGAAAAATCAAACCGAACTCCTGGAAATAAAGGACTTATTCAGGGAACTTCAAAACACTGTACAAAGCCTCAA